AACTTCTCAAGGTACAATGAAACATTTCACTTCATACAATTTGCCCTAAATACCTAACTTTTCAATTATAATGCATACATCTTTTTCTAGATATTTACCATAGCATAAATGAAACTAATTGAAGAGCAAAATTAAATTAAGAATCATACATTATGCACATGTTCAAAGGAAACTCCTAAAATTCACTAAAATTGCAAAATTCTTTAAATATCCAACATTTATCATTAAATCATGTTCCAAATGAAGATGCTTCTTCAAGTTTCTAATGTCACTTCTACAAAAACCAGCCAAAATTGATCTGTAAATGAATCGGAAAAGTTGTGTGAAAGTGGAGCAAGTGGCTGTGCAATTATTCAGAATATGGACCATCAATGCACGGGCTAAGGTCACATATTGAGCCCACATATTGTTTTCTTTGCGTTTTGTTTGTCTTTTTCTGCTCCAGCTAAAACAAGAAGGTAAAAACAGAGGTCTCTACGTATTTAGGTCACGTTTTGCACAAAAAAAAAAAAACAGCATTTGTTGGTCTAGTCATCTCCAAATCATCCTCAAATCGCGTCTAATGTTATTACCTGAATCCTGCGTGATCCGAAATGATCATTAATCTTTAAATCCTACAAATACAAGAAGTTTTGCACATTAAACCACTCAAATGCAAGTTTTGGCTATAAAATGAACCTTGTAAAAATAGAGGCTTAAAGAACAAGTTTCATCCTTAAAAACTTTGAAATCACACCAAAAGTAAACAAATAAACATACTTCAAAATATGCAAAATAAACAATTATCAATCCTTGACTTGAGTAATATTAATTTATTTCCACACCTAAAATTGACGTGGAATAGTAATTTATTTGGTATTTAGAACTAGTGCGATTGGTGCAATTGCAGGTGCAGAAGCACCATACAATTGATAGCTTGGATCAGACCATCCAAGCCGGGCTTGATTTATTTCTAATAATGGTCCAGCTCAGGCCGAGCTCAAATGGCCTGATTCGAGCCGTCAAAAGTTCTTTGTACTTGTAGCTGCAACTGTAGAGAACTCGAATCCATTTACTTGCAATCATTGCACTTGTTGTCGGACCCTTATTAAAATTTGTTACTTTCACTGCCTCCATTTTGTTTGAGGAAGGAAAATTTGGTGGATCTGGTCCTCAGCAGACAATTCCAATATTTTTCGGGGTAAAATGATGATTTTAAATTTTTTTACACATTAATCCAATTTGTTTACATCGTATCTAAAATTATATTTACACCCTACTCCAACTTGTTTATACACTTGGACAAATTAGTGTGAAATGGGACATGTGAAGCCCATTACCACATTAGGTGTGCATATCTAATGGTTTATCTTATGCATTAGCTGTAGAAAAATGATGCGGTACCGAAGTGTGAGAAGGTGAAGGAATTACACGAACACGCTCAAAATGAGAAACATTACATGAATGAATTCTGGAAACACAAGGTTTAGACAAATTTTACCCAAGGGCACAGCTTAGGAACATGGCAGAGCCATTACACTCAAGAGAGTTAATTTTCAATAATATCGATAGTAGTCTATTAATAACAACCCTAAATATGCCTGTTTATAGGCTACAATAATATCCTACTAATCCTACTAAAAAGGAAATAAAAAATACAAGAAAACCCTAAAATGAACAAAATATCGTATCTAGCTGCAATGTTGATCCACGGACAGACCTAATAGGGAAGAGGGGCAGTCCTGAAAGTTCATGGCCAAAATTTGGCACAAAAAAAAAAAGGTTCAGATTTTATCTTGTATCTCATTTTTCACATCATACGTGAGACCCACAAAATTTTATTTTATAGTTATGCGTTGTTGAAAGTGAATTACATCATGTACAGATAGAGTTATGTCGTATGCATTTTGCACAAAATTGTCCAGACTAGTTTTCCTGGTAATCGTTTGAACCCCTTGTCCATCTAATAGTGAAGCCAGCGGATCCAAGGCATGGATTGGAGGGATTCCTGGCACGAATTGCGTTCATAATCGCAATCTACTTCCTTCTTCAACCGTTCTTTGTGCACCATCATTTATTGACATAACTAAAATAATAGATAAACAATTTAAAATACTAATAAACAACAAAATGACCCTAATTAAGAACCCTAAAGAAGTTCTTGGGTAGCATTATTGATACAGACGAGGAATTCTTGAACCCGGAGTTCCTCGTTCTATATTAAAAATTTTTCAAAATTATGGCCAAATAAGCACAAAAGGAGTCAATTTTGTAACCAAACTCCAGGCCTGAGTTTACCAGTCTTCTTTCCGGTTTGAACAAGATGGCACCTTACCGTGTGCGTCTTCCGGGTTGCTTTCCATGACTTTCTAATCCCTTTATGTGCCACTTCAAATGCAGTTTGGGACAAATAAGATTAGAAACACGGCACTTTACCTGGAAACTAAATAGTGACCAGTTATTGAAAATGGGAAGAAAAATTTTGAACTCGTTCAAAAGATTGTTGAACAAGTTGAGAAAGAAATGTTGCAGGAGAGACGGATCTTGTGTTACTGGATGAGAAAAGATGAAGATTCGTGAAATTCATGGGTTTAATAAAACTAATAGTTGTCCAATGACCATGACAAAACTTTTTTCAAAGATGTAAAGAAGTAACATGATCAATAAAAATTTATTTTACACTAACACGGTTGGGTAAAAAAAAAATTTTTTTGAATGCTGATTAGTACTATTATGCACTTGCACCCTCTAGCGTAAAAGAAGTTTATTCTGCCAATGTATGAAAAATTAATTCTTAATCAAAATTAAGCTCTCCTTTGGGAACAATGAGAGTTTAACTACTTAAAAAATCTGATTCTCTTACCTTCATTCTTCTGGTTCTTAAATGAAAAAGAAAAAGAAAATAAAATTTTAAGTTAGATTATACCTATCTAGTAGACAGTCTTAAGACAAGTGTCTGCTTTATCTGGAGTATTAGCACTTCTTAAGATCATGAGTCCCACAAATTGAAACTTGTCTGATTCAAATTGATTGATGTAAATCCTGACAACTCTAGTGTAAATTTGAATTTGACAATTATAACAAAGTTGTGCGGGTTTACACCAAAAGTTATAAGATTTACACCAACTAGCTTAAATTGGACAAATTTCAACTTGTGGGGGCTTGGTCCCACCTCTTAGGGTAATACTTCTTCGGCATATTCTAATAGAGACTATAGAAAAATGGTCAAGCCTAAAGTTCATTAATTAATGGGTCCCCATATGCTCAATTGGAAATTTTGTGGCAGAAAAATTAATCAAACTGCACAATAACTTCTAAAGAAAATGCCCGCAACGTGATTCATAGTATAGGGGCTTCATAATATACTATTTGTCAACCAATCGGTTAAGGTAGCTGTTTTGAATTAATATAGTAAAAGATTATCAATTAAATAGAAGGGATCAAATTGAAAATAAACTAAACTTTTTGAATTGATAGTATATTATGAGTAGTTTTATCTACGAGGCTCCACAGACTTTTTTCTTTTCTCTTTTTTGCGCCCCGGGGGGGGGGGGTGTGAGGGGTTTTCCACACTCGACAGCACATATATGTACAAATCCAGAAAACAAAATTATATTATATATATATATTATATTATATATAAAGTTTATATATAAGAGTAACGATAGATTTGCAACTTGGCGGTTTTCTTGATTGTTCAAAGAAATTTGATTTGATTATAGAGATGGGTCATGATCTACTAGTTTTTATAATATTGTTATTTCACCTTCGCTTATGCGGACCTATCAGTGCGATGCTACATTTTCTTGAGTGAAATGCTCCTTTTTTTTAACCACAAGCTCAGTGGCTACCATCAAAATCGGTAAGACTTGGTGGGTGGAAGGTTTTAAGGATTTAGACCTTGCCTCTCACTATCTGCTACTATATGTGGTCTACCACTTTAAAGTGGTTTCAGACGGGTGCATTCGTCTGGATCAGTGGTGGTTCAATCTCTACTGATTTTCCCTCTTCAGGTTCCCCGCCCTGCCCCATAGTATATAATAAAATGCAGGACTATTGTGTTGGGCCAAAAAAAAAAAAATAGAAATGCTCACTTTTTTTTACAAGAGAGAATTGTAGTTTTGATCCCCAGTATTCGGCCTTTGTGTTAAATTGATCCCCACTATTTTGACCAAATAAATTTAATCCCCAAATTTTGTGATTTTAGACAGATTTACGATAACTAAGGAAATGATACAATGGCTAACGGTAATGCTATTAAATTCAGATCGGATAGTGACTTAGTTAAACTATTAGATCAGGAGTCAACTTGTCAGATCGGTTGGACCATTCTTAAAAATCCGCTAACGTTAGCATGATGTCATAATTAGTTTTTATTTTTATAAATTTTAGAAATATTGAAATTAAGATTTTGGTTTTATTTGGCCAACCATACAAAATGTTACACATATATTAGATTTGAAAGCAAATATACACCCAAAAATTATATCTAAAATATGCCCATTCTCCAAAATTAATTGAAAAAAATAAATTAAAACAAATCATACCCAATTTGAGATTTTTTTGTTGTTGAGAATATGGCTTTATAATGCAAGTTGTAATCATTGCTGATAAATTGATAAGATGATAGGAATGAAAATTTCTTGATTTAAAGACCATTTAGGGAAGTGGGTGATTTTGATGTTTACACCGAGTGTGTGGCATTTTCTTATTCCTATTTATAAATGAAAGTTTAATAATTTAGGTAATTCAAATTATATTCTGGGAAAACAAGAAAGAAAAGTTTGAGAACTGGGTCAAGCAGTTGAACAGGGTTATTGGTTTAGCCGATTTTTTATGAGTTTGACTGGTTTTTTATTGAAAAGATTTTGTGCTACTAACAAATTTGGAAAGAAAGCCGGTTCACGATCGGATTGGCTGGATTGATCGATTCGATCCGAGTCTAATAACATTGGCTAATGATCAACATCAAATTGCCATTTTGACCATTAGTCATTAACTTTGACTTTGCACTTTTGGTCCTAATGTTTTGATTTTGAATCAATATATTTTTCTCTAAATTCAAGAAAGCAGGGAAGGAAAGAATTCAGGGTAGTTTGACTTGCAAAGATGATAGCTTTGATATTGTCATTGGCGATGGGAAATTGAAGGTCTCCACAATGTCTAATTCGCAGTAGAACATCAATAAGATCTTCTTGATTAGAATCAGCAATGAACTTCTTGTTCCTAGTCCGGTTCTTGACGTGCTCCTTGATTGAGCTTTCAAATATAATATCCATTTTGTGGCTGATCTGCAGCAATTTAGGCTTCAGTCCAGTCAGGACATGAAGAATTTTGTAAGAAGGAAATAGATCAACAATATCAAAACCTCCTCCTAAACCTGCCACTTGCTTCATTATTCTTATACAAATTCGTATTGATCTTCTTTGGGAACTTGACCAAATGCAGCTCTACAAACCATCGAACTCGTATGTGAGAAAAGTTTTCAGTTATATTGGCACTCTTGCCTGCCAATTGCCTTATTACATCAACTAGATGCAAAACCTCATCCTGCCTAATATTGTGGAAGGACCTAACACTTTTAGCGCTAAGAAGTTCCATGACGCAGATTTTTCGCATTTGTCTCCAATAATCACTATAGGGGGAGCATATGATATCTTTAGTATCATAACAGATGATCTTGAATGCGAGAAGTTCATGCCTGCTAGCAAAGGAAAGATCGTATGTTTTCATGATGTCTTTCGTCAAATTTGGTGAGGAGACAACAACAGCTGAAACTTCATCCAACTGCAAATGTATTAGAGGTCCATGTTTTTGAGCCATGTTTTTGAGCTAAGTTTTTTAGTGTACGATGTGGAAGTGAGCCTATGAGATGATGCATACATCCAATAAATGGTAGCTTGCATGGACCCGAAGGCAATTTCTGGATGGTTTTGGATGTTTGGGATCTTTTCCATTCCTTGATTAAAGTCAAGAGAATGGTTGCAAAGAAGAAAGTGATCAAGTTTGGGTTGAAACTCAGAAGCTCCATTGATTTGCGATGGATGAGTATCCTCGTCCTACTTCTCTCTCTCTCTCTCTCTCTCTCTCTCTCTCTCTATATATATATATATATATATATATCATATAATGTTTGCTTACAAAGTGTTTGAATAATCAAATTTTTTCAAAAAATGTTTCGTTCGAATGATAAATATATTTCTCAATTCACTTTTTTGTATTTTTAATCATTGTTTTATTTCACACACACACACACACACACACACACATATATATATATATATATATCACATAATGTTTGCCTAAAAAGTGTTTGAATAATCAAAATTTTCAAAAAATGTTTCGTTCGCATAATAAATATATTTCTCAATTCACTTTTTTGTATTTTTAATCATTGTTTTATTTCACATATATCAAATCACAAAAAGTATTACACTAATTATTTTAAATTATATTTCAAGTAATACTCTATGAGTAATATCCAAATATGTTACTTCCATGTGAATCGCATTGATCGGTTGGCGTGTGCAGTTTGCGATAATCTTTTGTCATCTATTTTAAGAAAAATTAGATGGCGCTCTTCTCGGTTTGAGTACTATTAATTTATTTCCACACCCAAAATTGACCAGGGATGATAATTTATTTGATAAGAAGTTCCGGTGCGATTGCAACCATACCATACTATTGACAGCTCGGATGACGCCATCCAACCGGGCCTAATCTAGGCTATCACTGTGAAATTCATGGATGGCTTGGTCCCGGCCATCGGTGTTAAATTCATTTGAGTTTCAAATTGACGGTCCAGTTGAGACCTATCCCGAATTGCTTTATTGGAGCCGTCAAAAGTTCTTTCAGTTACACCTGCAACTGCAGAGAACCCAATCCATTTACCTGAGATCATTGTACTTCAAGTCTTCTTAAAATTTGTTACTTTTGATGCCTCCATTTTGTTTAAGGGACATTTACTGGATCTAGGCCTTACCTGTCTGTTGGCCCTAGAGCAACTTGATGTATGTAGGGGTGTGCATCGAATTCGAAATCGGTAATTCGGAAATTTGAATTCGAAATTTTTTAAAATTTTGATATCTGATAATTCGATTGAATTCGATTTCGAATTCACCAATTCCGAATTCGAATTCGTATCGAATTCAATTCGGAATTCGGTAAATTCCGATTTCACCGAATTCGGGAAAATTTATATATTATTATATAATATAAAATTTATAATATAATATAATATTATATAAATTTTATAAATTTTATATAATACAAATTTTATATTACGTGTATGAAAAATATATTTATATATTAAAAACGAATTTGAAATCGAAATCGGAATTCGAATTTCGATTTGAAAAACTCCATTACCGAATTCGAACCAAATTTGAAATATATGAATTCAGAAAATCCGAATTCGATTCCGATTTACCGATTTCGAAAATTCCTAATTCAATTTGAATTCGGTCGATAAATCAAAATTTTTCGATTTTGCACACCCCTAGATGTAAGTGTGAATTTAAAGAATGAAGTTTTGCAAATAACCAACAAGATTTAAAGAACAAGGAAAATTAAATTAAGAAAATTAAGAAAATAAGAATCGCAATTAATATAGAGAGAGCAGGGAAAGAAAAATCAAATGCAAGAGATTTATAGTCGTTCAACTGCCCTTTCTAGTGCCTATGTTCACTCCTGAGTTTCTTCCAAATATCGGTAATTCTCCGCCATTATCCCACTTTCAACGGGTGAGGTGAGAAACCCACGTACTCTTCAAGATCAACTTTCCTCAATAAGTTCATCAACTCTTAAACCAAGGTTTTTACTCTTCCATACAGTAACCTCAATGTATTACAACTGAAGATCACCTTCTCCAAAATTTTTTTAAAGTAAGAATGGACCGTTTACAGAATAGAGTAAGAAAGCTTACACATTGCAGCAATGAGCTGTGTTTACATCCTACTATCACCTATAACTATACAAAGAATTATAAAAATCTACAAAACACCTATCTAGTCATGATCAAAACACTTGTATGTAATTCCCCAATCATTGATCAAGCTTTAGTTCACTCTTAACCTTGGAATTCCGCTCCATGTAGCACCAACATGTCTCATTTCTGTAACTATACTATGTATAATACCAGTGGGAGTAACAAAGACTTGCTGGAACATCACCTTGTTTCTTGCTTTCCATGTATTACAGTGTTATAACCAGAGATAACTTTCTAAGCCTGTCTATAAATGAGTTGTCATTCCAATGCATAATTAACCAAGGTTTTAATTCTTCTCAATGAGAAACCTCACATAAACACACAGTGGGATTGATGAATCTCATTCCAATTCAAATACCCCAGTGTGAATCAAACAATTATCTTTACCTGATTCCTAGTTGTTATTATAATTTCACATCAGTTTTTTTTGTGAGAATTCATGTCTTTATACTCATAGAAAAGTATGTTCTTGGTTGATTATTTTAGCTAATTAAAGATTCTGTAGATTTTGAAATTTTCATTTTTTTTATGTTTTCGTTTGCTTTTATATAGATTATAGATTTTTTGATAGCCAAAAGAGTTAAAATTCATCATCTATCAAGGTGTAGTTTTTGTTGATTTTGATTATTCTCTATGCTCACTTTCCATAATCAAATTTTATAAAATCTAAAATAAACTAGAACAAGGCCTAAATGACGTTGGGATGTATTGTTCCAACGAAGCTGTACGTGTATTTCACCCATGCATACATAGCCTGTAGCTGATACCAATTTGACATACTGCGCTGTGTCAGCCTAAGGGTCTGTTTGATAACATAAAAAAGTGCTGAATCTGAATTTTTTCAGACATTCAGATGTTTTGAGTGTTTGATAAATGAAAATCTATTTGCTGAACTTGTTAAGCAGTGTTGAACCTGTATGTATTTTTTTCAGCACAAAAATCCTAACTGAATGCTTAATTCTGATAAGAATCAATAGAATTATTTCAACTACCTTATCTTATCTATCAAATCTACCCTTGTTTGTTAATTATGTTCAAAATTCTTATCTAATTAAACAACATAATATTTTCTATCTAACGATTTTTAGTTTCTCTTTTATCCCTTTTTAATGACTTTCACATCTTCTCCATACTCCTTATATAATATATTTCATCTTTTATATTAATTTGATTTAAAAATAAATATTATCATTTTCATACCTAACAATTTTAAACTAATTAAATCATAGATTCTATTTCTTTTTTGAATGAAAAGATATAAGGACAAAATTGTCAAATTAAACTTATTAAGCATTCAGTTATAAATATTTATCAAACAGCATAAATAGGTTTAGCATTAAAATTCAGACATTCATATATTTTTTCCAGTACTTAAAATTCAGTAAATTAATTGTTTCAGTATTCAGATTTCAGAATTCAGACTTCAGAATTCAGATTCAGTTTTATCAAACGGAACCTAAGTGGGTTGAGTTTCATCATTCATGAAATCATCACATTTTGGTCGTAATAGTGAGCGGACTGAAGATAAGATCTTACTTGATGTATCGGTGCATTTATGGATGTGTTTAGAAATTGACAAGAAGTTATAAGCTGTAAATGACGAATTATCTACACTGTTTTTGAAAATATCTACTTTTTTTTTAAAGCTAAAAAAAAATTATTAAACTAAAGATAGATCCAAGACAATTGCTGTAGAAAGAAAAGATGGTGAAGAAGATCTCCAATTACAAATGTCTGAAATAGAACTAGCATTTCTAATCGATAAATGAGCAGCCTCATTTAAATTTTTAGGAACCCAATTAGCGTCCCAAATGACAAAATTCTGTAAACTATCAAAGATATCATCTAGCAGAACTCCATAGGCTAAATCGTTAGTTTCTAGATTTTTAGGCATGCTAATGATCTTTAAAGAGTCTTCCTCTAAAATAATCTTAGGAACTTGCAATTGAAGCAATAAAGTGACTGCTGATCTTGCATCGTAGGCGTCAATTACTCAAGAGTGACGACACCTAAGATTTTGTGAGAAATGCTAGCAAAAAAATTACCCCACTTATCCCTCACGACAACTCCAACTCCAGAGCAGCTGTTTTAGTAGAGTATTGCACCATCAAATTAGCCTTTAGAAAACCTGCAGGGGTTTTACCCAATGAAGTTGGCATCAGAAGAACGCATTGTACTGTTTCCAGATGTGTTTGCTTCTTAATATTTTTGTTGGGAATATTACAACGAATCGGCAAATATTGTGACAAGAATTGGCTTCAAGTCATGATAGAATATCACTTTCCTTTAACCTTTATTTGTCCGGTATAACGTGCAATAACCTTGAACAAATATCCTTTAGGATAAGATGAAGTTTATTTGTTTTAGACTCTTGCACAAAGTAAGACAAATCCTCTTGAATTAAGGAGTGCTTTTTGAGAGAATTCAAAATAGTAGGAAAGTAATTTTCTGCAGCAAATCACTCTTTACTTGACCTCTTTATATAGAAGAGATTGTTTAAGAAACAAATGAACTTAATAAATATTTGTATGAATAGATTCAAGGTATTGTGTACAAATTCATGTATTCTAATTCATGCATCACATGATTCTATAATAAAAAATATGAATCTATCCTTATATTCAAGGATCCCCACATATATGAATATATTCATGAATAAATATACATTTATCAAAATGTATGTACATCTTAGAATCATTTGATTGATAATACAATACATTTATGTACATTATACAAATTTTGAAACTTTCTAACAAATCCCCAGCCATATTCAAAATTTAGAAAATGGACTTCCAAAAGGTCACCGAATAATCTCACATTCATATGCATAAATAAT